GTTTCTCTTTTCTATAACATTAAAATACTAGCTCTTTCTAGTGAACTGTCCTCCTATTCATCTATTTACTACGCACCAATAGCAGAAAAAATGTCATCGAAGACCCAGCTCCCGACCGTACCGCCAACCATGCGTGCCTGGGTACGCCGGCGGCGCGGTCCTGCTTGTAGCACGCTGGAGCTGGTCACCAACTATCCAACGCCCGACGTGCCCACGGGCTTGTCGCCCGATGTCCTAATCCGCGTGTCAAACGTGGCACTACAGTACAGTACTGAGATGACAATGAAGATGCTGCCTATACTGCCTTTCACCAGCCCGTGGATCCCAGAGATTGAGCTTTCCGGCGTGGTAGTAGCGGCTGGCGGGCGTGCACCGGCGGAGGTGCGCGATCCGGGCTCACATGTCGTTGCCTTTCAGAACATTCCCAGCGCCATACTCATGGGCCACGGCGTTCTGGCAGAATATGTGCGACTGCCTGGCTGCCAGGTCTCACGTATCGATGATGGTATTGATATGGCGTCGGCCTCGGGAATCATCGGGTCCGGTAGCACCGCGTTCAAGATGATTCGTACAGCAGGTGTGCGCGAGGGGCACACGGTGCTCGTGAATGGGGCTAGCGGGTCGGTTGGTTCGGTGGTCGTGCAGCTGTGCAAGCTGCGTGGCGCAAAGGTGGTCGGCGTGGCCAGCGGAGGCAACGAGCCTATGGTTCGCGATCTGGGCGTAGATGAGGTAGGCACAGTTGCCAACGTTGCGTAAGAAAATGACTAATATATAAATAGTTCATCGACTACCGTGAACATGAACCGCTGCCAGCCTACCTAGCACATCAGTATGGCGATAAGCCGTTTGACTTTATACTTGACTGCGTCGGCACCCAAGCACTCTTTGTCAACTCCCCAGCTTATCTTAAGCCTGAGGGAGCTGTTATAAATATCGGCATGCTCGAGGGCATGTTTGTGACAGCCGGGAATATGCTGCTCAACAGCTGGCTGCCCACCTGGCTGGGCGGCGTGCAGCGTCGCTATATAATGTTCAGCACGCCCCCTACGTGTGATGACTCAGTCTACCTAGCACGCCTAATCGAGGAAGGCCGCTTACGTATCCCTGTCGATTCTGTCTTCGAGATGAAGGATGCTATACGCGCCTATGAGCGCATCGCCACAAAGCGTGCGCGTGGCAAGGTTGTGGTCAAGGTGCATGATGACTAGTCCGCAGGCACGTCGAGGACGTATAGAGGGGCTTATTTACGAAGATTGATCCGATTTGGTTTGTGTGTTGCTCGGCCCACCGTGGACTCGAGCGGACGCGTATCTCATCTATTGTGTCGGACTATGTCCTTGTATAGCGAGCGCGGCTCTAAGAATTGTCTAAGAATTCTGGTAAAAAGCACCCGATAGGCTGACACATGACAACTATGATACACACTTGAGATTCTATACAAAATAAGGATCGCATAGTGTCTATTGGATAGTACTAGTTACTAGTATATACAGAATTGTTTCATATCAGAGGAAATCAGGTACATACAACATACCAATGTCGGAGTCTTTCTTTCTGCCACATTCTACCGCCCAACGTCATCGGACGCTTTGTAAAGAAATAGATTAACTCACATTGGCTCCGCTACACCAACTCAACCATGATGCGCCCGCGCCCCTCGGGTTGTAACCGCTGTCTGGCCCGCAGTAGGCTATTCTCTACTACAGCACAGCGTACCGAACAGAGCCAAAATGCCCCCTTCCCACCAACGGCAGGGTACAGCCGACTCACAAACCGCGGACTAATCTCCATCACCGGCACCGACAGCACAACCTTCCTCCAGGGCCTGATGACCCAGAACATGCTAGTGGCCAACGACCCGACCCGAAGCATTCGACGCACAGGCGCATATACCGCATTCCTCAATTCACAAGGCCGAGTCCTGAACGATGCCTTCATTTACCCGCTCCCCGGCGCAGACGCCCAGGGTGCCGAGTCCGGCTGGCTAGTGGAGGTAGACAAGGACCAGGTCCCGGTTCTGCTGAAGCACCTCAAGAAACACAAGCTGCGCGCGAAGCTCAAGCTCCGCGCTCTGGAGGAAGGCGAGCGCACAATCTGGTCCTCCTGGAAGAACCACGCCGAGCCGCAACGATGGGCTGCATACAGTCTGGAGTCGGAATCTTCGTCGCCCTTCTCACCCACCTCCGGAATTGCCGGTTGCATTGACACACGTGCTCCGGGATTCGGATCCCGCATTATCACACCCGGCTCGGATGGTCTGCGCACCTACTTCCCGGATGAGGCGCAGGTTGCTGGGGCCGAGGTCCAGCTGGACTCATACACTGTCCGTCGCATTCTGCACGGTGTTGCAGAGGGCCAGGCGGAGGTTATTAGTGGATCGGCTTTGCCTCTGCAGTGTAATATGGATATGGCTCGTGGCATCGATTTCCGCAAGGGCTGTTATGTTGGTCAGGAATTGACGATTCGTACTCACCACCGCGGCGTTACGCGGAAGCGTCTTTTACCCGTTCAGCTTTATGATTTGGGTCAGGGTGGGGAAAATGCCCCGGATACCCTCACATATGACCCATCTTTCCAACTGACTTTGCCTTCTGGTGAAGCGGATATTGTTAAGGCTGGTACCACTACTCGCCGGAACCGCAGCGCGGGGACTTTCCTTCATGGCATTGGCAATATTGGACTTGCGCTGTGCCGTCTTGAGGTTATGACTGATGTTGCGCTTATGGGTGAAGCTCCTGCTCGTCCTCATGAACACCACTTCAAGCTATCTTGGGCTCCGGAAGTCGAGCTGCCTAATGAGGTCGGCGTACGTGCTTTCGTTCCGCCTTGGCTTAGAGATTTCATCTCCGGTGGCAAAGAGGAGAAACCCGCTCCCCGTGATCCTGAAGGAGATGGTGAACGGGCACGGGAATTTGTCGAGCAATTAGAGGAAGAGGAAGAGGAAGCCGAAGCGCACCGAGACTAAGTGTCTAATCACTACTCATGTATAATATAACACAACACAAAATGATATGATGTAAATAGCTCTTGTATCTCTATTCAACTCAACATTGCAAATACAACGTGCTCTGGGGTATCTTTTGAATCTAAATACAATGGTAGAATTAGGCTGGACCTTTTCGAAAATGCAGAAATGAAGCTAGCTTCTGTGAAGCGCGAGAGCTAGATGCCTTTCGCTGCCGCTGCTTCTGCTGCGTCTGCAGCCTCATCTTCTCGTATCAGCTCTTCCTCGAGGGCTTTACGCTCCTTCTCACGCTGTGCGTTCTTCAACCGCATCATCATCACTTCCTGTAGACTAGGCGCAGCTGGAGCCTTAGTAGATGCATTGAATGACGTTGCACTCGGGGCAGCTGCCGCAGCAGATGCAGAACCGAATGAGCCAAATGAGGGCGCTTTGTCGGATACAGGGGCTGTTTTCAAGCCCTGGAAGCTGAATGATGGTTTAGGAGGCTTGCTGGAAGTATCGATAGAGGGCCCTGGTGGTGTCTGTGCGGGCTCAGCCTGGACAGGCTTGGATGATATATCAGGACCTAGATCAGGTTGGCTGCCGGACGCCCAGAAGACAGACTCGATGAGACCCCATTCGCCATCTTGACCAGCATGTTGACGAAGTTTCTTCTCGCTATCAAGAACAGCAGTGTGAGCGCTCACAATAGACGTGAAAACAACCACGCCCGTGGCAACAGTCTTCTTCTCCTTGTTCTCCCCGATCCGCTGCCGTTTATCTTTGAGCGCAAAGGTATTCTCAATCTTCCCGAAAGGCTTGAACAGCACCGACAACTGCTCAATATCAATTTCCAGCCCACGCCCCTCCCGCACCCAGCGCACTTTCACCGCACGCTCGAGCTCAGGGACCTGCGCGCCACCACCCTCCTTCGAGCGATCCACGCGCTGGTTACTCCGATCCGCCGCCTTTCGGGCCTCCTCTTCCTGCTGCTGAATCTTCTTATTTTCATCCTCAAGCTCCTTCTTGGCCTTATCCTCAGCCTCGCGTCGTCTCCGCCGCCCATCCTCCGCAATCCTGTCAATCTCCCGCTGCAGCTTCTCTTCCGCATCCGCATCCCCATCCGCAGCCCAGGATCTCTTGACACCCTGTTTGACACCAGCGCCGCCCATTTCGGCAGCGCCTGCCCTCTCCCGCGCTTCGAGGTCTTCGCGCATCTTCCGTTTTGCCGCTCCCATCATGTCCCGCTCGCGCTGTTTGCGCATCCGCGCTTCCCGCGCATTGTCGTATAGCTGTCGCACGGATGTGTCGGAGAGGACATCGTAGGCAATCTGGAGGAAATGGAATTTGTCGATGTCTGCTGCGGTGGGGTTTTTGATCTTGTCTGGGTGGTACTTTAGTGCGGTGCGTCGGTATGCGCGGCGGATCTCGGTTTCGGTGGCTGCTGGTTGGATGTCTAGCAGAGCGTAAAAATCTTGATTTGAGGCGGCGTGCGCCTTGAGATCGTCGTTTGGCATCTTGGTGGTTTATGCGACAATGTCGCCTGAGAGGGTTGCGGAGATGAAGTGGAGGGTTTGATGTTGTGGTTTTCGACTCTGTGGTTGCTGGGTAATGGAGTAGGGCAATGCAGAGCACAGTGATGGCCCCGAGAGAAAAAAAAAACCTAACTCCGAACCCTTGAAAATTGAGGTTGTTTTTGAGATGGAAATTTGTAGGTTCAACTTCGGAGCTTGGGCGGTGGATCAGTTTCGCCTCAGGCCGCCAACTGGTATATTATGGGAACTATGAGATCCAAAAAGGAAAGTTATCAGAAAATCTATTCTTTACTATACTAAATTTGCCAAGTTATTTAGTGCTTAAAATTTTGTCTAGCTTTTGCCTTGGTTATAAAAACTAAGTCTCATTGTTATTGTGACCAATATTGTAGGACCAACCTTGGAAGGTCGATATGTATAATCCGGGCACGTGTGCAGCTTAAAGTTCTACTCTCTACTCTCTATCGGTAGATGGCAGCCTTTTCGTCCCAAACCATGACCCTTTTGAGTCCATTGGCAAGATGACAAACACATCACCATCCAAACCTGGTGTTACACCTCCAACCAAGCTTCAATTAGCCCTAGCATTGGCTGTTGTCAGGCGAAAGCCACCAGGCCAAAGCGTGAAAGGTTTGGCGAACATGCAGTTTCTATAGACCCAGATCATTTTATTATTGACTATTCATTCTAGAATACATTTTGCAGATTCGACAGTTCATTAAAAAGACCAAAGATTTGGACCAAGTTGAGGCGACAGAGAAGTTCTTCGATAGCGTCTCCTTCTGGCAACAAGCGTACGAACGGTCCGAGGAAGGACAGAGCAAGCTGCAAGATCATGTCCATGAGCTGAACCAGCGTATTGAAGTCCTTCTTGCCAAAGTGCGTGTCAAAGTCAGTGCAAATGACTATGAGAACTTGCCGGCAAACAAACGCAAGGCGCCTGCTGTTGGCAAGCATTCGAATGGCTCAAATATGGCTAGGAAACGCACAAAGCTACCAAAGAGCATGCAGAAAAGCATCCCATTGATGGATGATGACGATAGTTCAGGAGAAGAAGATGGTCCTTTATTCCCCTCTCATAGACCAGCAATGATGATAACTAACGTTATTACAGGCTTGTGTCTCAACAGGCAGTTGCATACCGTCCAAAAAGCTCTGCAAAGAAAGGCAAACGGCAGTTCCGAGACCAATTCTTTATCTCTTGAGGCAGTGATCCTCTGCAAATCTGCAGAGCAGAGACTGATCCAAACGACCCAGAACAAGACAAGCATGACAGAGGAGGAACCTTCCCAAACCGAGCAGCCCAATATGCCGGATACAGATGCTGTTATGAATGGAGTGACAGTTGCTTTCCATCTCACACACAAAGCGTTGCACAAAATGGTCGGGACTGAGAATGGCAGACAGCACCAAGGTCAGGTCATTTACTACTTAGTAGGTCTGTTCGAATCAACCATGACAGCACTCACTCTGCATTGCACTGCAATATCTAGGCAAAACGCAATCGCCAAAAACACCAAATTCGGTAGAGACCCAAAGTCCGCCACGCAATCTGACGAACAAAACAAAAATACAAAAGAGAAGAGCTCACCTACTAAGAATGAGATAATCTCTCGCCTCGCAGACTTGCTCTGCACGATGGCACTCTCCCTCAATCTAACTCGTATTGAAGACCAAGAAGTAATGGAAGGGTATCTCTATCTTGTCCTTGATCGCATGGGCAAAATGCTAGCTCTCCACGTGTTCCATGACTTGCGATTGCCAATGGGAATCTGCCCTGGAATGACATTCCCGGATGGACTGGAAGCAATGACTGACGAGGGTCTGATGCCAAACGAGGCCCAACTCGAAGCCAAGTATCTCATTCGACTTCTGGATAAAATGCTTAATGCTGAATCCCGTCAATCGCCCCTCGAGGGATCGGCTACTCGTCATTTTGTCGCGAATGCGAGAGATCGTCTACAGAAGACTCTCCTCCGGGCTGTATTCGGACCTGATGATCACTTGTTTCGGGAGGGTCTGCGGCGTCCGCGTACTCCGCCTCCTCAGATAGTTGATGGTCAGCATATGGATCAGGAGAAGTTCCCGGATTGGATTACACAGGAGCTGTGGCGGATCGTTGGTTGGGATGTGTTGAGAACTGCGCTTGCTCCGACCTGACGCCCTGGGTCATGGAATTTGTGCTCCTGGTACTAACTATCTTTTACATTTGTCCCCCATTATTGCCTTATACCCTAGTTGTTATTGAGATGATTATATCCGCAGACCAGTATAAGGATATTTTTGCTAGATAGTATATGTGCTTATTCAAGTTTCAAAATGCGAGCAGCATTGCCACCCAGAACAGCAGCCACAGCATCTTGTTCCCCCTCGAAAGTGGCATCAATAGCCTTATAGTTGGTCGTCACACTGATCCATTCCTTCTCACCCTCATTCAGAGGCGGGAAGAATGGATGGTCGGTACCTGTGAAATGTATTAGCATGTCCCAATCATACCAACAATGGAACTATATAACATACCAAACATCAGACGATCAGTACCTCCCCCAGCAGCAACAGCTGCCTTAAGCCCAGCAGTCCCATAAACGACAGCGTCAAGGAAAATGTTTGTCTTCAAAATCTCCCAAATACTCCTCTGTGGGCCAGGAACATCACCGCCATTCTCCACGAACTTCCGTTCATGCATAATACAGCTCTCAATGCGCCCAGCCAAGAACGGCAAAGTGCCGCCCGAGTGCGCCAGCAATATCTGCAGCCGCGGGAACTTATCAAACACACGGGACAGCAGCATGCGAGTAACCGCAATGGTGGTCTCGAGCGGGAATCCAAGAGCCAAGGGGAGGACATGACCGTAGCGTTTTGTCACCTCAGCACCGCCAAACGCCTCATCAGGGAGACCGTAATGAGGATGCAAGAAAAGAAGGAACTGTGTTTCCTCCAGAGCAGCCCAAACCGGACCGAGCTGTTCATCATCGAGACCATTTCCCAGCCCGGAGGTCCCCATAATCACGCCACGGATATGAGGCAGGGTTTTAAGTCTTTTGATTTCATTAACGATGATATCCACGCTGGGAGCGCTCAGCGGTAAAGTCGCAAATGCAAACAAAGTCGACCTCCCCTGCAGAGGGAGGGCGCTGTCCGGGTCTGTGGACTTATTATTTTTGGCACAGGTCTCCTCTAGATCGTTGTTGATGCGCTCAGCCCATTGCTGGGCTTCGGCGGGTTCGAGGAAGTCCAGCCAGGGATTTGCGAGAGAGATCACGCTGCAGTCAATGCCGTGTTGTTGCATGAATGTTAGTTTGACATTAATGTCGGAGTAGGATGTGTCGACTGGACGGCCGCGCTCGTCGATTGGAATGGATGGGTCATCATCTGATGAGAGGATTATCAGGCGCGGTTCTCCGCTCGCTGGGTCGTGGATGTAGGGGACTGTTTTGCGAGCGCGGAGCATCGCCATGTACGATGGAGGGTATACATGGGTGTGGACGTCGACTACTAATGGACGAGACATATTTGGGATATGCAAGATAGAATTTTGGGAAAAGTAAGAAGAGAGGAATAGTCGAGATAGAGACAGGGGTTACCCAAGTGAGGGGAGAATATGTACTCCGTACTCCGTACACAGATAAGAGCTGTGAAGTGGGGATGCCCCTCTCTACCGAATGATGCGCGATGTTACAATTTCTTTATCTCTGATAACTCTGGTCTTTTGATGTTACGTATTTTGGAAAAAGGAATGCAATTTGAATGCGAACTGTGCTATCAGCTGATAGATGATGTGTACACAAGTTTCTCATTAGAAATGCCAAGACGCCTCAATATTCGGGCGTTATAATCCGATCTCATTGATTCATTGGTAACATGCATTGAATAGTCACTATAACAATTTCAGCGACCCAGTCACTCATAAAACATGAAATTGAACATACACTCTCGACCACCGATCACAGCTGGGGGCCAGACAGAGTGACAGGCTTCACGTTGGTGAAGTTGGGGATATCGGCAAACACCCCCGCACTGCCAGAGCTCTGCAGAGCAGCCTGCAGGGCCTCCTGACTCTCCCACTCAAGGGTGGCCATGATCAGATACTGAGACGGGGAGCCATCAAGTGCGGTAGGAAACTTGTTGACGCGCCAGCTGATCAGGCCGTAGCTCCCCCAGGTGCTTTGAACGAGTGGCATGTGAGTTTTGATGTAGTAGGACTCGTCAAACTTGATGTCGGCCTCGTTGGGATACATAACAATGGCACTGTACGTCATTTTGGCGGAAGGGGGGTTTGGTCGAACAAGGGAGAGGTGGTGTTTGTTGTATATTGGAAGTGGAGTGAAGGAAGAGAAAAAGAAAGCGAATGTTGGAATATGTACTCCCAATCGACCGGCTTAATAATAGGTGGAACCTTCCAAGATTGGAATCTTCAAGGTTGAAGTGGGCCGAGGAGTCCCGGGGCTTCCTCCTTTGCCTTATTCCTGCATGCGTTCCAGCCTTATCTCCGGGAGTCAGGAAATCAGGCTGTGCTTACCCTATAGAAAGCTAGCTATAGTAGGTGGAGATGCCATTTTTCATTTTTCTGAGTATCATCAATGGATGGTTTGGATATTTACTTCCTTCCTGTTTTGGCTGCAGACGACACTTTTGGACCTCACATGGACAGGTACATGCTTAGTAATCATATCACATCACCTGGGTAGTACCCGTGGACGGACCTCGGGACACCTGAGTGATTACATAAGAAAGTGCATTCAACTAACGTATTTCACTACCGAGCGGCCACTACCCCCGAGTGGCCACCCCAACCAAAACCTATCACATTCAATTACATTTATCTTAACCAAAACGCCATTAAATTAAATATACTAAAATCATCTATCTAGCTAGGCATCTATTAATTTTATGCCCTATTTCTCCACAACCACTACACTTTGGCGGGGCCCGCGTATGTGGTTGTAAACCCGGCGAAGGGCTTCTTCGTGGAGGGGGGGGAGGTGCTTCATCTGCCTCCACTAGCTCAGTAATCAATTGAGAAGCTTCTTGAACTGAGAGGCCTTCTTCAGCGGGTATCTGCTTCCGGGATCTAGTACGCTTTTGCTTCTGCTTCTTATTGGCGGCGCGTAATTCCTTATTTTCTTTAGCGAGTAGGATAGCACCTTGTATTGTAAGACGGAAGCCTTTCACAAGCTGGTTTAATGTACGATCTGACGGGCTAGGTAGACTTCGAGATCTTATACGAAGTAAAGCTTTGATTGATGAAGCCTGTCGACGTAGTTCTTTCTTTGTAAAGGGGGTTTTTAGTGTGAAATTCCGGCTCAATTCACTACCCCGGCTAGCTAGGGGGGTAGGGGTTCGAAGCTAAATATTAAGCTTTGAAATCACTCTCTCTGGTAAAAAAGGGACTAAACTGGCTGCTCCGAAGCTATTTTTAATTGTCTCTAATTTAAAAGCTTCAATTTATACGAGAGGGTACGCTTCGAGGAAATCAAGTTTGTTAATATGATTTATCCTAACCCGCATTTTTAATTTAACTAGCCGGCCGTATGTACGTTTTAATACCGTAAAACAGCCGATATTAAGAGGTTATAAAAGGTAAGAGGAGTGCGGAGGTATATATATTAGTATAATTTTATTTTCTTTATAGATTTCATCGAACCTCGGGGTTAAATAACTTCTGTAGCTGTTAAGTATTAAAAGCCGGTATACCCCCTTTATACGCGAAGAAGTAGTAGGAATAAAGAGCTTCTTAAGCTAATAAAGGCTGATTTTATCAGAAGTCTAGCCGTTAGGACTAACTTTAAAGCGCCAATCTACTAGGAGGCTGTTAAACCATGATTTAATAAAGACTTTGCCTTTAAAAATCATATATAGAGGAAGAGCCTATCTAGAAGCATTCGTACACTCAACCACCGTCACCCATTCATAATTTCTAGGTTATAAAACCGGCCTCCGACCGTAGTATTCACTCCTTATAATAACCTTCGCAGTCGCTGTTAACCCTATTGTAAAACCGGTCTCGTCAAAGTTATAAACGTCGTCCAGGTCAATTCCAAATTAAAGGATAGTTTTTTAAACAAGATTAAACCACTCCGTAATGATTTTAGGATCCTTACATTTCGCACTCTCGTAGTTATACCGTTTCGAGAATCGGGAGGAGAGGAGAGGACGTCGTTTCACAAATTTTATAACCCAATTTTGGCCGACCGAAAGAACTAGGGTAGTTCCACGCTTTTAAAGAAGAAGATCCGCCATTTCTCGTACCATAGAGGGCCGGGGGGCTACTCCACGTAGATCCATAGAGAGAATCCATTTTTTAAGAGATTGCTCTTCAGTTTCAGTTAATTTAGAGCAATTAGCGCGTGAAGTCGCGCGGTTTTGTATTCTATGAATTCGGCGGCGGAGAGTTGTACGCAGGACATTAAAAGTGCTTGCAGCAAGAGCAATAGAGCCGATATCTCTATTTTTAAAAGCCTGGATAGCTAATAAGATCCTACCCTCTTGCTCTATTGAATTTTTAGAGGATTGAGAGCGTATTGGTGGCATGGTGGGTGGTTGAAGAAGTAGGGATTAAATTAATTAACGCGTTTTGGTTGGGGTGGCCACTCGGGGGTAGTGGCCGCTCGGTAGTGAAATACGTTAACGTATTCGGTAAGCGAGCTGCGCGCGCAAGCCAGCTGCGCAGCCCAAAACACGTAGTAAAAGCGATAAATTACAACATGATATCGCAACAACGGTTGTGTATATGAACCTTTCCTTATAGGCTAATGCATTTTATATGATGTCTAGCTATTATATAGTCTTTATAGGAATTTAATAAATTTTTGATAGAGATATATATATTTC